CACACCTGGAACTCTGGACTGGTCAGCTCTGTAGCATGGGAAACAAGTTAGCGTGGCATCGTCCATTCTCGTCCTGACTCAACGAGGGTCAACGTTTCCTGTGTAACCATGGTCGACAGGAGTAAGGTGCAACGGTGGGCATGCTGTGGCGTTGTGAGCCCCAGAGGGGCCCTGAAAACCTCTCGAGTACGTCGACACTGACCATGGAAGTGAGACAGCGCGGGGCCAAGCACATTTTTCTCATCCTTCTTTTTTTTAGTGCTCCTATCTTGCAACCTCCCTGCTGCGGTAGAGGCTGCATACTGCACCCCTGGCATTAGTTTGGCAGTGTGTGCCCACCTCGGACACGCAGGAACAGGGTCCTCGGAACGAACCACGGCGGATGCAAGTGCACTCGTCCCGCGGATAGGACAGACTCGGTGCCTCGAGATCTGCCCTGCTGTTTCTCCTGCGGCCAGCTATTGTTCCCCCCCTCTCGACGCCGTATTGGTGTTGCTTTTCTTCTTCGTCGCCTTTTGCTTACCCCTCCTGCTGATTCATGATTCGTCTCTTGGTTGTGCCTGTGCTCATTTTTTTATCCATGTCTCAGAGCTTCTCAATCAGGACAACTCCTGCAGAGCGGCACAGGATCGTTGATCCGACGGTCTGATCTGACAGGTCTTGGGTGGCTAGGGGAAGAGAACCCCCGGAGTCCACCTCAGAGCGAACCCCGTTGCCAGAGGTTTTGCTGGACGTGCCTCTGGGGGGGGAGACTTTTTTCTGGCCGGTCACGTTTAACATTCCAGCACTTACACCTCAGCTCACCTTACCTGGTGATGCTTTGCCTACAGGCCACTACCCACTTCCCTCCTGGCGACTGTCCTGCTGCTTGCCAGTCAGTGCAGTCATGGATCCCCGCAGACCTTTCCCAACATCGCTCTCCCTTGTTCAGGGCCGGCCTCCGACTGGCTGTTCACCCTGGGCCCAGGGTGAGGATCGGGGCTAGCGCAGAAGGCAAGGAATGTCTCGAAGCTGTGGCCATCCTGAGTTCAGGGAAGACGGTACCCACGGCGATCCTCCGCGCCTGGGGGTTCAGCCACCAGCTGGGAGGTGGACATGCGGGCTTGTGTGGGTACCAGACCCAAAGTAACGGCACCGAGACACGACGATGCATACCTGTCTGTCCTGTTGTTGACGGCCCTTACACTTCCCCCGCCAGGAAGGGCATACCATGTCTGCTCACAATCGGCTCCGTTGCTGAGCGGGTCAATGTTTGTTTAGGCCAAGGATCAGGGAGACTGATGGACGGTGATCGCCCACACCTCTTGCTTTTGGACATATAGCGAGCATCCCATCCCTGGATCAGACACGCACATCGCCCCCTTCGCCTGAGACTGCTGATGAGCTCACACACACACCTTTGTAACGCAAAGCGACATCATATCCGCACCTGAAGTAGAGCAGGCCCCGGCGGTTGTGATTCCACTTTCGTCATGTCTGCTCATCTGGAATCAGGCATCACACCTGCCCATACCGATCTCACTCTCACTCTCACGATGAACGCACCCGCACCCGCAGCGCCATCGAAGACCAGGACGAAAAGGAAGAGCATCGATCGACAGACCAAGTTGGCACACCTCCAGCTCGTGTCAAAGTACTTTGACTATTCGAACTACTCGCTGCCGCGCGCAGAAGGAAGCCAGCAGCCCAACCCGTACAGGAGGGCAGGGCACAGTTTCGCGGAACAGACGGACGAAGGCATGGATGCGATGGAAGCTAGGCCGTCTACGACGATGACCTCCAGGTCGTTCTCCCGTCACCAGAGCAGGTCGTCCGTGGTCTCCAACTGCTCAACGCCCAGCCTGATTGATGACCACTCTGACTCTGAGGTGTCACCCGACGATGACTACCAGTACCACGCCTCGACATCTCAGCTGTGGGACAGCTTTTGGGTGGCGGGGGATCAACCCCATGACTTTGAAGATCCTCACCACCACGACCACGACCAGCCACCAAAGACACCGCGGAAAGGTCACCGTGCACCAAAGGCCCGGTATCCCGCCCTCATCCCATCGCCGCATATTCGTCGCACCAAGAAGGCAAGCACCATCAACTACGATGACGACCCTCTCCCGCCTAAGCCCATCGAATACACCACCACCGTGCAGCAGTCCACGTTGCCTGCGCACCAGCCTCCCAGCCTCCCGAAGGGTCGCAACGTGACGTCCGTCGCCGAGAAGCGCAGAACCATCAGGGCTGTTAAATCATCTTACAGCCTCTTCCCCAAACCTCATCAGGCTTCATACACCTCCACGACCTCCACGACCTCCACGACCACAACCAAATCATCGTCAGCAACAACGACAGCGCCGTCCTCTTTTGTTGTCCCGCCACCGCGCACCTCCTCTCTACCTGCTGCTGAATCACCCACGCCTAAGCCTCGCAAGACCACGCGACCATCACCCATCCACATACACTCGGCGCCTATCCGCCTACTATCCGGCGCAACCCTGATCGGTACACCATCTCCAGCCCTTCGCACATCATCCTCGTTCGCCATGCTTCCCCGCACATCCACCTCCTCGACCCGCACTATGGGCGGTTCTATCGTCTCGGATCTTACAACAGTCAAGTCCACGCTGCCCAACTTCCCCTCCACCAACCTCGCCGATCTCGTCCATCCCCGCTCCGCACCTCTGCCTCCTTGCCGCCGCGCACCCTGCGAACCGTCATCCGCCGCCCCATCAGCCTCGTTTTTCGATTTTGACTCCTCAGACTCAGAGTCAGATGATGGCCCTCCCATTGCACGCCTCGTCAAGTCTCGCCGCGCTGCCACGCTCAAGCCTGCCAGCCCGCGCCGCAGCGGCGACGCGCCCCGTCCACGCCGCAAGTCTCTAGTGGCCTGGCGTGCCGCCGACGACACCGAGGAGCATCGCGCCCGCGACGTGTTTGGCCGCATGTTCGGCCGGGGCTCCCGGGGCCACACTTCATAAGGGCAACATGTACTCCGTCGTCCTAGTTGTTTCCCGTTTTCTTCTTCTCTCATTGTCGTACCAAAGCCTTGGGTTTCAGTCTCTTCTCTGTGTCCTGTTTCATTTTTCTTTGTTCTGTTTATCACTCTGCATCATGTCATTATGTCATGTAAACCACGACCACTTTTTTTTTATCGAGAAACTCTATCATCAGTTATGCCTCTACGAAACGAAGCCTCCGTTAGACGGGAAAAGGATCACGGTCTGGGCGAATAGTCAAAGGGTCAGGAGAATGGTTTGGGGGTCATGTGTTCAAGTTTTCCCACGGCGCCATTGGAAATGTCAAAATGGGAAATGGTAGGAGGAGGAGAGGAGCAAGGGTGCGAGGCGCCTCGTGTAAGCGGGAAGGAAAGACGGAAGCTGGAAGGGGAGGAGAAAGTAATCGGCCACCACAATGAACGTTTCGAGCCGCCGATACTGTCATTTATGTCTCCTATGTTGTCTTCCTCTTCTCTTCTTTTTTTTTCTTCTTCGGGGTTGTTTCCTCTTGTTGTGGTAGTTGTCATCGTCGTCGTCGTCAGCAGAGAGAGCCTGGTTCGCGGTACGGGTAATTGCTTGTTGAGTTGAGGTAGCTCTGAGATACGTTGCTTTGCCTCGCGGCGATGGTGCCTCACGCACGAGAGTAATCAAACATTCAAGAAGATGAGCATCGCGCGTCTGTGACAATGTATGGCCATTTCACTGTGGTCTTGTCAGCGGGACATGCTTCCTCTTTACCCGTGTTCACAGTTCTCCATGGAGATTCTGGTGTGATCACAGCATACGTTACATGGTGGACGGTGGGGGTTGCGGGGAGAGGAAGCAAGGCATTGCACCGACACAAGACGAACAAAAAGGCGCAGAAACACATCATATTCCCATCAATATCTGATACGTATACATAAGCCATACATCTCATTGCTCGGCCTGGAAGCTCTCCGAGGCGGCAATCTCATCAATCTCAGTCCTGCTCACTCTCAGCCCAGCCTGACAGCCCCTCTTCCTTCAATACAGTCTTGGATCTCGTGCCAAATGTCTCGTGAAACGCCATGAATATCCATGCCCCGTGCCGTACAAACATGACCCCATACCATAACCCTCTATTTTTTTTCCGTTACGCGAACAGTGCAAAAACAAAGAACTCTCAAAATCAAGCGCAAAATCCAAACGCCAACCCATGCAGATTCTCCATGCCAAAAACGCCAAAAGCAAAACACCATTGTACCAACCTCGGGGAGTGATCCCTCGCCAGTGTATAATGACACACAACACCATGATTACGCGTCGGACAAGGCCCACGGCCTTCAAAGGCTCAATGCCTTCTGGCCTTGCGCTCCGTATACTTTTTGAGCCGGCGCACGCCCAGCTTCTCGTCTTTGCCGGGCACGTTGCCAAAGTACCATCGGCTCTCCTCCCAACGCTTACCAAGCCCCAGCTTGGTGAGCATGGTCTCTCTGTCTTTGGCTTCGGGAAACTGGAAGCCCTTCTCTTCCCGCACATCTTCGGTGCAGAGGAAAGAGACGAGATCCGCAAGGCAGGTGACGGAATGAGGCAGGCGGTGCGAGAACCGACAGGGCACCAACGACATGAGCGCAAACCAGTACAGGATGAGCAGCGCCAAGACGATGAAAAACACGGCCCTGTTGGGTCGCATGCGGCTGTCGTTGATTCCCTCAATGTTTCGGGCCATGAACAGGCCGCCGGCGAGGATCGGAATGAAGACGGCCAATGTGCTCATCAGTGAGACGGCCGCAACGCGCCAATGTTTGTTCCTCGCAGCATGGAGGGTGGCCTGGAACGGGTGGCAAGCGGCGTAGTCCAAGAGCATGGAACGACCGGCTGGCGAACCCAAGGCGCTATTCAGCTCTGCCCACGGTTGCGTAGTGCGAAGTGACATGTCCAGAGACTGGAGGAACAAGTACAGGAGCACGCCAAGCAGACTCGGGATGAAGCTGAAGAGGAAGTTGGCCGCTGAAAAATTGCCCTCAGCGGGATAGACAGACAAGTGGCCGGGACGGAAGCCTCGCATCCAGCTAGCTCCCTGCGTGAAGGAGACAACAATCAGGGCCACCAGAAGGAGCGTGCTGATCACAGCGAAGCCAATCATCTGCCCATCTCGCAAGAACCAGGGTAAATATTGTTTCCGAATCTTGTCGTCCACCCCCGAAACCAGGGACATTGTCAGCGAGTTCATAGACTCGCGTTGGCGGATATCGTCTTGGGGCATGTCCTCCACGTCGTTCCGTCCTCTCCTGTCAGAGATATGAGTGTCGATTCCGATACCGTACCATGGCGTCACGTCGGGGCCTTCCATCTGCCAATAGCCCAGCCGATCGACGCGGCGGTTGCAAAGAATGGATTGCATCGCCTTCCTGTCCCTGATCATCTCGGTTCTCTCATAGTCGTCAAGAGTGTTCGACTTGTACATCATGTGGGCAACGTCGGCGATAGATCGTGGATCCCATAAGAGACCCGTGATCCTCTTGTGCCAGTACATGGCCAAAGTTGCAATGGCTCCAAGGAGTAGCACGTACAGAACGACGGCCGTATAAGCCACGCCTTGCACTGCCGACCAGGTCCATTGGTCGTCAACACGAGCCACTGCAAAACAGCTGCTCAATAAAGGTATCGTTAAGGCGCCAAGCCAGATCATAGCCATACAGGCCTTCAGCATAGGTGGCCCTGTCAAGTGAGGTTTCATAAAATTCGTGAGATAGAGGTCGTCAAAGAGTGCATCGCGTCTCTTTTCAGACTCATCATTCGTCATGCGTTGGAACGGCAGAATTCGAATCGTGGTTGTCATGATGCATTGTGCGTAGACGAACACGACGGCGGCCAGTAGTTGTGGCAGTACACGGAACAGAAAGTACTGTCCGTGGTTGATATCGTCAACGGCGTAGCGCAACGTAAGCAAGCCAGGTCGTATCGTTGTCAGAATGGCGGAAGTGACGAGCAGCACAATCATAATAATGCATAATGCCATCATGGTGATCATTGAGGGTAGTCGTAAGATTCGTGGGACATAGGTGATTTCGGGGTAGTTGATTCTCAGGGGATCGATAATGTCAAGCTTGGGCAGGCCTTCCCGTCGGGTTGGATGGACTTCGCTGATCGGTATCCAACGGTTGGAGCCCAATTGCTTGGGTTCGTCCTCCCCTATGAAGCGTGAAGAAGTCGTAGACCTCGGCTGTGAGAGAGGCCGCGTCGTGTTGTAGGCTTCTAGTCTGATGGGAGTGACACCGAGCTCCTCATTCTCATCTTGCGACTGTGATAACGCGCTGTGGCGCACCGAGTTGCGCGTGTAAACCGAAGGCACAGGGGCGAGAGATGGCAACAGACTGCGTGCCTTGCTTGAACGCCTCTTGGGTATCGCGTAATCATCATCAGAGTATTCGTCATGATCATTAGGGAGCTCCTTCTCCCATGGGGCGCCGGCATCGCCTCGGGTGGTCGCTGTGGCATCTGACGTGGCAGAATGCCTGGGCCACGACTGTTGAGTGAGGGCGCCAAGGGCATAGCTGATAAAAGGTCCGTCATCGACGCCGGGCGTGATTGAACCATTGACGGCAAGGGTCATGTCATCGCGAAAGCCCTTGGCGCGTGCGCGGTTGGCGACCTCGTCCATGGCTAGCTGCGCTTCGTTGAAGCGTACTGTCGTTTGAGATTGGATGTGGACTGTCGACTCGGAGTCGATTCGTCGAGGTGGACGCGGATCCGGGCGATTGTCGATCAGTGGCTCGTCTGGGTGCCGACGAATGTCACGTAGCGGGTTTCCGAACTGTGCGAACAGACGGCTAGGACCGTAGCTCTCGGTGATGGTCGAGTCGGAGTCAGAGTGTCCTGGCGGTGAAGGGGCGTGGAAGATGGCCGGAGCTTGGGGTGAGAGAGAAACTTGACCGGAGTCGCTCGTCAGGTCATCGCCGCCGCGTGACGTGTCGCCATGCGGCCGAATGGTGGCCTCTGACTGCTCAGAAGGGGTCTTTGGAGACCAGAATTGGGGCGGTTGGGGACCTGTTATGCGACCCGTCAGTATATCAAGTCGGCGGCCACGTATTGGAGGAGGGCGCTGAACGACTGGAGAAGCCCAACATACGCTGTCGATCGATAAAGTTGAATGTCAGGTCTTGGAAATTCATTCTTCGATTCGTGGGAAGATGCGTCGAGCGAAGCCCACTAAGACCTTTCAACACACTGACCGAAGACGTCGAGTGAGGTACAGAGTGATGCAGTAGTGTGTGCTAGACAAAGATGCGCGCCAATGCAGATGTGGATTGAATGATGCATGATGCAGACAGAAAGCGCCATGTTTGGGCAATTCAGTCGTTTTGGTCAACGGCATCGCCAATTGCCAGTGGCTGGTCGACCCCTTGCCACGACCCAGAGGCGAGAAAAAAAGAAGGACACGGGCAACATGGGGTCAGACGAGAGGAAGGTTGGGTGGTGATGGTGAGAAAGCCAGGGTGAGTGAGAGTGTGCTGTGACGACTCCATCCCCAGCCTCTCTCTCGAGGCGTTTGGGCTTAGAGCAAAGCGGACCGGGGCCCGGAAGCTAGGGCCATGCCGTGCCCCAATGCAGGTCCCAGGCCCAGACGCACGTTGGGTAGCGCACGATGAAGAGAAGAGACGGACTTACAGCACGATTGTCAAAGATGGAAGAATCACGATAGAATGCTTCGAAGCTGCTTCGTAGATATCGCGTGTGTGTGAAGTTTTAGGAGGGAAAAGTTTCTGCGCGGCTGCAACGAGACGGTGAGCTGCTTTGCTCCTGCCTGCATGCGTGCCGTACCTTCTTGCAGCACCTAGTGGGGAGCTGCAGCCTGCATGCGCCTTCCACGCGGTGTCTACTCAGGTACTACTTGCCTTGCATTGGGCTGACAGGCAACCGCCCTGGGGACCGCCCTGGGGACCGCCCTGGGGACCGCCCTGGGGACCAGATAGGGCCAAGAGGGCACACGACCTCTCGCTCAGCTGTGGACACAAGGGCAGGCACTCCACTATGATGCAGCTTCCCCGAAGAGAAAAGCTGTGGCTGGGTGAGGGATGCTGATCTTCGTCGGTCTGTGCGTCCGGCTTCCTCCTTCCTAAGGGCGACCTTCCGTCCTGATGGTAACTGCCAGGGATGTACAGGCCGTGCTTGCTCCCTTGACAGTACTATGGAGCATCACACCCGGCACCCCGGTCGCCAAAGTGGATGCAATCGACAGCTCGGGTGCAGCCCCGTGTTTGAGGTGCTTGACAACCCTAATGACCATGTCCTGGGTGCTGACAGGCCACCTGCCAGCCTCGTCTCCATTGCTACCTTTTTTTTTTCTTCCTTCCAGCTTCTCCCCCACCGGCAGCACCGAGTCGCGAGTTCTGGCCACAAGGGGGCACCCGTGCAGATCCACAGGGTGACGCTGGTCTCTCCAAGGGATGCTGTTCAAAGCCTGAAAGAGGGTCTATTGATGTCACAGGGACAAAGCACCTAGCTGCCCAACGACCGGATTCTGGGAACATGGTCCCAAGTAAAGCAGGTAAGGTAGTATTACATGGCGAAGTGGGCACGGCAGCGCCAGAGAACCCTTGGTCACATCTTCTCGACCCCGGCATCGTGCCCCTACGCCCTCGACTCGGATATCGTCCCATGTGCATGTCCAGCCTACGCCCGGAGCAGATCTGACAAGCCAGCCGACGGCGGCGCCACATCTACCAGCAGCTCGTTTGTCCTCCGAATACGCTCGTACACGACCTTTTCTTCCGCTGCCCAGCGCGTGCCTGCCTCCTTCGGGTTTGGCGCACTCGACCAGAAGCGCCCAAGCTTGGATGTAGACCCTGCCGCCGCCGCCGCTTTCCTCTCAGCCTCCTGCTGCTGTGCCTTCTCCTCCTTTGCCAGCCGCTTGACCATGAGCGACCAGTTGTGCAGCCCTGTGCCCAAACACTCCCTGCAGGTCGTCTTCGTCGCTCGGTTCGCCGCCGTGGCGGGGCCCAGCTCGCGAAGCTGTTCTTCCGCGAGGTCCACACCGTCGCGTGTCCAGGTGAGACCTTCCTCGCGTGTTCGCAGTGTATCGTTGCTCGAGTAAAGAATCTCGCCAATGTAGAGGTGAAGGGCCGCCTCCTCGCAAAGCTGCTTGTTGTCGCGCCATGGGGGAGTTGTTCCATCAGGCGGAGGCGGGGGGTACTGTGGTGGCTGTGCCAGTGCCCACAGTTTTTGCCAGAAGTTTGATGGCGATGAATCGAATGACTTGGCCCTTGTTGCGGTTGGCGGTGTAGTGGGCAAAGCGCGACGTGCGCGAGAAGAGAACAAAGATTGGGAGTGCCCCCGCGACGTCACCGCCATGGGCCTTTGTGCGTCGCCATCGCTGTGAGGACAGACAGGACGTTCTCCGAGGGGGCCGCCGACCTGTCGTTGAGGGTCAATGTCCGACGGTCAACAACAGGAGGCGAAGATGGGTCGACAGTCTCCAAGGCAATGGAGAGTGCCCAGTCGTACACCCTTGCAGCAGCCTCCGGCACCTTCTTGAAGTCCAAGAAGGAAGCATACGCAAGCGCCGCATCGAGTCTCTGCTTGGTGCTGAAGCCCTTGGTCGTCAGGATGCGAAGATAGGCATTCTCCGCAGACTCGTAGGCCACCTCACAGTCTTGTTCTTTCGGCGCACCAGGAGCTCCGACAGGCATGGGCTGAGGCCGGGGGTTCGAGGGTCCGACAACCATGGCCGGGGGGCAGACAATGTTGCGAGTGCGATCTTTGACCCAGCCGTCCACCTGCTCGAGCGTCGTCGCCAGCAGCATCATGACCTCGTAGTAGCCTCGCCTCCAGTTTTCGTCCTTGGTCGAAATGTCCTTGCCCACACTCCCCAGACCGTCAATGGACAACGGCTCATCACCAAGAAGCTCCCGAACACCGGCGCCATCAATCTGGGGGTCCTCGAGTCTCTTCAGGGCACTCTGGCACGACACGATAATCTCGTCATAATTCGTGCCCCGATTCCCGGCAACCCGCTGCGCACTCTTCGCGCCCCGAACGCCCATGCGCGTCAGGAACGACCACTCGTGCGGCGTGGGGAAGTCTTTTTCCAACCATTCTTGGTTGAGCATGAATCCGATGGCGACAACGCAGACGAGAGAGCCCCAGATGGAGATGTTGTACCGGAGGAAGAGCCGGCCCTCATGCCTCAGCCATAGCTTGTTTTCGGTGGTGAAGTAGCGGACTTTGCGCCGTCGTGTCGTTAGTGGTATCGAGAGGAAAGGAAGCTGTGGTCGCACACGGGACGCGAGCGCTGTGTTGCTGGTGAATTCGCGAGCGGGGAGCTCGAAAAGTCGCTGGGTAAGGCGGCGGCGAGTGGCCAAGCGCTGCCGTGTGGTCGGAAGCATGTTGGCAATGTGTGGGATGCGGCTATGGTATGGTCGTCATGCTGATGAGGCTGGCAGTACCCTCGAAAGCCTGCAGGTTCCTTGCGTGTCGATTGCCAATGGTGGTCACTGTTGATGCCTCTATTCTGACTGGCTGTTGCGGAACCTGCAGTTGGGGGAACTTGAGTCGTCGGCAGGTCGGCAGATGATAATTCCGCACTCGCAGCCATTGGCTTCTCCGATTGGCCCACACCCATCGCAACCAGCCAAGGGCAAACTTCAAGCCATCGATTTCGTGAGCTCTTGGATGCTAGGGGCAACTCAGAATCAATCTTGTATCTGCCCTAGGTACAAAATTTAGCTCATCCTCTTACCACGAAATATACACAGCAATTTTTTTACATGTCGCTTAAAAATGCGTCCTTTAGTTAAGCGAGCGGGGCGTGTCTCCTGCTG